CTAGTTAAACGAGTATGACGGGTTCTGAGGCGTACCACACAAGTGACCAAGCAAAGGCTATAACTAGTTAAACGAGTATGACGGGTTCTGAGGCGCGCCACACCAGTGACCAAGGAAACGAAGCACGTCTTGACACTCTGGGCTGTGAGAAACCTGTTGGGTAAAAAATAGAAAGAATGAAAAACAAGATAAAGTGAAAGGTACACAAGATTTATTTTCCAAATTAAAGCCTAACCTTTGTTGCCATGATAAACTTGTTCCAGTCTTCCTTGTTCGCGGCCTTCCCTGGCCGTTTGAAGTCAATCTTGTTGCGGAGCACTGGGTAACCTTAAAGTAACAAAACAATTTGAACAATATCCCTGACAGTCGTATCGAACAAAAAAGTTAACAAGACGTGACTTTGGTTAAAATACATGGTTTGTCATGAGATATTTTTGCGTGACTAGGTACAGGATTGTGTGACTAGACTTACCTGTAATGACGCAGGGCAGAGATTGAATCCCAGTGTTTATAGCAACCAAAGATGCTTCGTAAGTATCTCGTTCGTCTGTAGGAAGAACTTGTTCGACCTTTTAGAAAGAAATGGGGAGTATTACATCTGAAGCCCCTCGTAGCATCGGCCTAGCAACATTTACTCACCCTTTGGTCCATGGACACTGCCAACACCCATTCCTTTATTTCTTCCCGTTTTTCTTCCTATTTAATTGAAGAACATGCTCATTAGAAAACTGAAGATATGGGAAAATAAAAAAACAAAATGAAAACTAATCCCTCTAATCCCCGAGTGGCCACAGGCCCTGCTTCCTGGAATAGCAGACATGGTGCATTCTGTTCTAGCTCGGGTACAAACAACACCATATTAGCACGTTGAACAAAGTATATTTGTACCCAATCAAGACCACAATGCACCCTGTTAAACTCCAGTCTTTTCTCCCATTATATTTTCTAATATTTCTAATACAATATAAAATTAATAGACGAGTGTACAACCGGCAGGAACTGCTTCTCGGGTACAGGGACTTCAAATGGAATATCCGTATCAGCAAAACCACTGTTATCCAGCATGTCCAGTGAGCCTTCCTCGATACCCTGCAATATATGATCAACAATGAGTCACTAACTCCGCAACAGATTTAGCAGAGTCACATGCCGCTTCATCATCTTTGCTAAGAATTTTCTAGTGTTTCCTTACCTCACTCAAATCCAGGTATCGATTGAGGAACACAAAGGCCATATTTTCCCAACCAACGCTCTAAAAGTAAACCGCACAAAGTTAGAAATACATCAAACTATTTTATCAGTTGGGCTTGAAAGGCTACTGCGAAGGAACAGCAATACATTTGGTGGTACCCTCATCTGACTGCATAACAGTATGAAAGCATTTGACCACCCATGTTGGGAGTCTAGCTGGTACAGTAACGTTGACTACTGAAATCAATTATCCGTACATATACAAGCGACTGTACCCATTGATTGACAACCCAGTCATTTGACAGCCCATGTTGGGAGTCTAGCTGGTACGGTAACGTTGACTACTGAAATCAATTATCCGTACATATACAAGCGACTGTACCCATTGATTGACAACCCAGTCAGAGCAGTGTCGTAAGGTTTACCTTAGCTGCTAGCCCAGCTTCGTAGAAAGCCTTGTCACAGGGGACAAGATCAGAGTGTCTTAGCAGGGATATAGAGAGCTTGGCTGCTATAGTGTCCTACAATACATCAAACAAACCATGTATTAGATCAGGATTTCATTTGACATCATTTCCTGTCTCGTGTAGAATGTTTATCAGCTGAATCACAAGTTTTCAATAGAATTCTTTCTGGTTGACAGTACGTGGTGGTCAGCAGATAATGAGATTCAAAGACTTTTATCACCTGATTGAAATTCAGCAATTCTTCTTCAATTTATTTGTTAATGCAGGAATTTTCCTTGATACCAAAGAGGAGAGAGATTTTATTATTTACCAGTGATTTCTGCTGCAGACTGGCAGCCCGACAGCTGTAGTAGTGAGTAACTTGAAGCATGTTATCAAACTCTTGCGCCTGGGGTGATCCAGTGTCGCCTGCTTTGGCTATCC